CTGACAACCGCAGATGTTTCACCTGTGGGAAAGCCGGACATCTCAGGACGCAGTGTCCTGAGCAGAAGCAGACGACATCATCTGGCCAGCCGGCCAGCAACTCTTCTTCCGTGCTGTTTATCCACAGGAAGATGCGGGTAACCCCCGCCAACTTGCAGCCAGTCACTGTGGGCAACCGGTCTGTAACTGGTTTCCCGGGACACTGGGGCAGAAGCCATCTTGGTCCAACCAGAGGTGATCGAGCCAAGGAACCTCATCCCAAGAAACTTCCTTACCCTCACAGGAGTTGGGGGGACCTGTTCACGCATACCCTGTGCCAAGGTATTCATAGATTGGGGTGCGGGAAGGGGGATGAGGGAGGTGGGGGTCTCGGATGAAATTCCCACACCTGTTTGGTTGGGTGCTGATCTAGGCACTCTTGTTTCCTATTATGCCCCTGCCGAGAATACCCGGAAGGGCCCCCTGGAACTCTTTGGACATGCCAAGGTACTGTGTGCAGATATTGGGGTAATGTCTAGGCAATCTGTGGATGGACAGAGGGAGGGGGCTGGGAATGGAGTGGGGCTACAGGATTCTCCATTAGCAGGAGAACGAGAAGAAATCACCCTGCCTGGGGAGGTAGCAAACTCATGTGTCATTGATATTATAAACATAACTGTTCATAATGATAACGATGACGATGATGCTGATATTGATAATGTCAGTAATGTTGATGAGAACGATGGTAATGCTAATGATGGTTATGATATTCATGGTGAAACAAATGATGCATTTTCATTGTTGGGGGTCATCCACAGTGCTGTGAAGGGGGCAGAGGTACAATCTCTGGGGGCTGAGCAAAGGGATGGTCTGGATAGGCCTGTTCCTTGCCCAGGCTCAGAAGATTATGCCTTGGTAAGTGCCCAGCCATTTGCCTTGCGTGGTACTGGGCAGCCGGCTGGGACTTGTAGTTCCACGCATAAGGTAGCACTGAAAAGCGATCCACAAAGGAACTTCAGAGGTCAGCTAGCTGTGAGCTGCCCTGCTGAGGGTAAACAACATCCGTCTGGGACTTGTAGTTCCACGCATAAGGCAGCACTGAAAAGTGATCGACAAAGGAACTTCAGAGGTCAGCTAGCTGAGGGCTTCCCTGCTGAGTAGGTAAACAACAGCTGGCTGGGCCTTGTAGTCCCACATGTGTGAGATGGGGAAAAAGCTCTCATTGTTTGAACACTGATTGTGTGGAGTAAATTAAATGTTCTGGAGCGACATTCTGCGGTTTAGCCACAAGATGTCACTGTTTTTCTAACACAGCCTCAGACTGCATAGATACAGTCATGGCCGAAATTGTTGGCACCCTTGATATTTTTCCTGAAAATCAAGTATTTCACACAAAAAAGGTATTGCATTAACACATGTTTTGCTATACACATGTTTATTCCCTTTGTATGTATTGGAACAAATATAAAACAGAGGCAGAAAAGCAAATATGACATAATGTCACACACAAAACCCCAAAAATGGGCTGGACAAAAGTATTGGCACCCTTAACTTAATATTTGGTTGCACACCCTTTGGAAAACATAACTGAAATCAGTCGCTTCCTATAACCATCAATAAGCTTCTGACACCTCTCACCCGGAATTTTGGACCACTCTTCCTTTGCAAACAGCTCCAGGTCTCTCTTATTGGAAGGACACCTTTTCCCAACAGCAATTTTAAGATCTCTCCACAGGTGTTCAATGGGATTTAGATCTGGGCTCATTGCTGGCCACTTCAGAACTCTCCAGCGCTTCTTTGCCATCCATTTCTGAGTGCTTTTTGACGTATGTTTGGGGTCATTGTCCTGCTGGAAGACCCAGGATCTTGGACGCAAACCCAGCTTTCTGACACTGGGCCCTACAGTGCGACCCAAAATCCTTTGGTAATCCTCAGATTTCATGATGCCTTGCACACAGTCAAGGCACCCAGTGCCAGAGGCAGCAAAACAACCCCAAAACATCATTGAACCTCCACCATATTTTACCGTAGGTACTGTGTTTTGTTCTTTGTAGGCCTCATTCCGTTTTCGGTAAACAGTAGAATGATGTGCTTTACCGAAAAGCTCTATCTTGGTCTCATCTGTCCACAAGACGTTTTCCCAGAAGGCTTTTGGCTTACTCAAGTACATTTTGGCAAACTGTAGTCTTGCTTTTTTATGTCTCTGTGTCAGCAGTGGGGTCCTCCTGGGTCTCCTGCCATAGCGTTTCATTTCATTTAAATGTCGACGGATAGTTCGCGCTGACACTGATGCTCCCTGAGCCTGCAGGACAGCTTGAATGTCTTTGGAACATGTTTGGGGCTGCTTATCCACCATCCGGACTATTCTGCGTTGCAATCTTTCATCAATTTTCCTCATCCGTCCACGACCAGGGAGATTAGCTACAGTGCCATGGGTTGCAAACTTCTTGATAATGTTGCGCACTGTGGACAAAGGCAAATCTAGTTCTCTGGAGATGGACTTGTAACCTTGAGATTGTTGATATTTTGCCACAATTTTGGTTCTCAGGTCCTCAGACAGTTCTCGTCTCCTCTTTCTGTTGTCCATGCTTAGTGTGGCACAGACAGACACACAATGCAAAGGTTAAGTGAACGTCTCTCCTTTTTATCTGCTTTCAGGTGTGATTTCTATATTGCCCACACCTGTTACTTGCCCCAGGTGAGTTTACAGGAGCATCACATGCTTGTAACATTCTTATTTATCCGCAGTTGTGAAAGGGTGCCAATACTTTTGTCCAGCCCATTTTTGGAGGTTTGTGTGACATTATGTCGAATTTGCTTTCTTTCCTCCCTTTTTTTGTTTTGTCCCAATACACACAAAGGGAATAAACATGTGTATAGCAAAACATGTGTTAATGCAATACGTTTCGTGAGAAATACATGATTTCCTGGAGAAATATCAAGGGTGCCAACAATTTCGGCCATGACTGTATTTCTATATTCAATAGGAGGTGGGGTTTTCACATGGAGTTTAGTGAACAGGAAGAGGAGACTGCAGCCATGTTTTGGACGATGCTGAATGAAGGGGCCGAGTGAGCTGAGAATCCGATGAAATCCAGGTGTGAGTGCATCCCTCAGTAACCAGAGCTGTAGCTAAGTGAAGCTGATTGTGTCCAAGACCCTCATCCTGTTCAGAGAAAGGAAGATTGCTGCCAGGAATCCTAATGAGAGCAGAAGAACAAAGCATGCTTGTTGGAGAGACACTTGTTCTGTTCAGAGTCACCAGTGGATGCAAAGCAGACCTGGGTCGGTAAGATCGTGCACGCACCTCATTTCAGTGTTGGTGCCTAGAGACTGAGTCCAGGCCTATAGTTAGTTAGTTAGGGTCTCTGTTTGTGTCAGGCCACAAGTGTTGTTACTGATCATTGGAAGGACTCCATAACTTAAAGTGACATTTCACATTGGAGAGCTGATAACATCCCACAAACTCAAGCCAGACTGGCGTTTTGCTCAGAAGGAATACTCAGGCACATGCTAAAGGACCAGTTATGGGAGGGGGAATACTGTAGATTTGTGTAACATTGTAAGCTGTTGTGCTGCACCGCAGGCTAGCCCATATCATACACTGATTCCTGCTCTTTTAGGGTAATAACGGGTAAGGTGTGGCAGCTTAGTTGTGCCCGCCAGTAGGTAAATTATTACACTTTCTACCTTCATCCATCAGAAGGTGCCGTGCTGTGCAGCACAAGGGTCTCAGACTTTGGGCTGGGTGTATGTAAATTTATTGTATGATCCCAGCATTTGTGGTTGTGTTTATTTGCCACATCTAAGTAAAATTCTGTTGTGGCAAAAGCTGGTGTTGGGGTTGCTTTCCTTGTTCCTGACTTCACTGTATCCTGGGGAGCCCACCCAGTACACGGCTTACACATGCAGGGCAGCACTGGAAAGCCATTCACATAGGGATTTCAGCCTCTGGCTAGATGTGAACTTCCCTCCTGGGAAGAGTAAACACAGTCCTGACAGTAATAATGGCCTATCCGCAGGGGGCTGGAAGCCTGAAAGCAAGTCATCTGATCTGACCTTAGGCAGACAAACATGGTGTGTCATCAGGCAGACAAACATGTGTCCTAGGCAGGGACAGCACACTTGGATTGGGAGTGCAAGTGGCCTTATTGGGGTTGATGCTCGGATTTCAGAGAGAGGGCTGCGGTCCTCAGCTCCAATCACCTTTCCTTGCCACTCAGGTCCCGAAGCTGCTGGCAATGCCTTTGATAGATAGTGTCTGGATTCAGGAGAACCCGGGGAGAGCTCACCGTGCAGTTCAGGAGATAGATGGCAGAATGTCTGCCTCCCTCCTGCCTTCTGCCAACATCATCTCCCAGGTGGTGCAGGCTGAATGGACCAAAGAAACAGAGGGAATGGCGCAGTCAGGAATCCAGGGGTCAGCTCGAGTCTGGGCATCCCCGGTAGTCTCGATCCCCAAACAGAATCCGATGACCAGGCTTTTTGAGGACCATGGGAAACTGAGTGCCAGCCCTGTGGGTGTGGCACACCCCATTCCCGGGGGCCATGGGGTAATGAAGCATCCAGAAGGTGCCCGCTGTTTAACCATCATGGACCTGAGCAGGGGGGATGGGCCACCATCTCTAACCCAGGAGGCTCAGGACAAGTCAGCCTTCATTACCCCATGTGGCTTGCCTGAATCCACAAGAGAGCTAGTTGGGGTTGAGAACGCACCAACCGCCTCTCCAGGGGTCAGGAATGACCTGCAATGTGGAGTGGAACTGGGTGCAGTTGCCCACTTTAGGGGCCTTGCGGTGTTCGGCCCTGTCTGGGAAGAGCAACTTGGGCCCCTGTCACTAGTCAGGAACCAACCGCCCGTGCCTAGTCTGACAGTCAAGAAGGATAACTGTCAGAGGGCCATGTCAGTGGTTCAGCTTTGGGAACCACCGGTAGGAAGAGACCCCCAGAGGTCTGGGCATGGGGAGACTGAGGCAGTTGTGGCCTGGTCTGCTCCCCAGGCCAAAAAGCAGGTTACGTCAGTTGTGGGTGCAGCTGGCTACGGTAAGACGCCTGGGTGCAACTATCATGGCTCAGTTGGACCTGTGACTGACCTAGCAGACAGGAAACGAGGAACTGGTATCCTGGATGCTAGCAGGTAACGAGGACTGTTCATCTTGGATGAAAGTACCTGTGGACACATCTGGGAGGCGAGTTTCAGAATTCGCCTGTCCGGTTCCGGTGCACACAGGCGCCACTACCTTCGGGACAGATGTAGTCCTAGGCCTGAGGAAGAAGATGGGAGAGGGACATCTCCTTCTCTACCTCGACAAGAAACTACATATTAATATGTTAGCAGATGACACACCTGAGCCGAAGTGTTTTGTGAACAGGTGGGTACCCCAGCAGTCGCCACGGTATTCGGATAACCACAGCCGACTGGTGCTCACCCGTGACCACTCACTTGGTTGGCACAGCAGTGTTGCGGGAGGGAACAGCTTCCTTTTCAGAAGGAACCCGGGTCTCCCGCAGTGCATATCACCCCAAGGTGAACTCCTGTGCATAGTGGCTCTGTGCCCTGCTCAGGCCAGCCTGTGGCAGAAGTGGGTTGCGTCAGGAGGAAAATTGCAGTCCCCTCCAATGCAACCACCTTCGGGGAGGTGTAACTGCGTACACACAGAGATGGACACGGTTCAACCATTTTGGCTCCAACCTCCATCTTGCCAAAGGGGTTAACCATCCTGACAAACATATCTCCCCCTCATTCTCTCCCCCTTCCTCTCTGTTCAGCCACAGTGACATCTGGTTGTGGGTCACTGGCAGGCTAGAGCCAGCAGGGAGCCCAGAGCTATAAAACACCTCTCTGAGCTGGGGCCTAGCTGTCCAAAGAACCTGTGCAATTTAACACCTCGTATAAGATAAGGCAAGCTTTCCCCAGAGTTCAAAGAACATTCCCAGGAAACACAACCAGATAACCTTTGTTAAAATCCATTTTTCCCCTATGTCTCATATCTTGGAATATGAGAGACTTACATAAAAACCGGACATATCGTCAGATTGGCCACGAGAAGGCGAGCAGTTTGGTAGGTCACTCGCATTGTCTCGAATACATAGGAAAGCCGAAAAATAGATCTCGTGAACCGTTCAGTGTATAATTTCATAATTCATTATCTAATCAATCCTCAGACGTGTCTGCCTAATAATCTACCCGCGGGTGGAATGTCACTTGTGCAGATGGAAAGTTATGGGCCAAAATAAGAGAGAATTCTTATTGCAAACCCTGGATTTGGCTATGAGCCATAATTTTTGTTGGCATGATGGCAAATTTTACAGGCAGAAAACTGTCCTCCCGTGATCGCCGCGCTTCTCGCGCGCCCAGGGCGGCGCGCATCGGGTACTGTCAGTGACGGCTGTGTCCCTCGGACACAGACATTAGGAAGAGGGGGGTGAACAGCCACTTACAGCTGCTGATTACATTTGTGGTCGCTCTTCATTGGACAGAGCGATCACAAATGTAAAACACAGCAGGGTCATGGCTGGGTTTTCTCTCTCCTTTCCTCACACCAATACCGAGTGTGAGGAAAGGAGAGAGAATCGGTTCTTACAACTGTGAGTGTGATCTACACTGCTCTATCTGAGATCTACAGTGCCCTGTCTGTGATCTACAGTGCCCTGTCTGTGATCTACAGTGCCCTATCTGTGATCTACACTGCCCCCTGTGTCTGTGATCTACAGTGCCCTGTCTGTGATCTACAGTGCCCACCTGTGATCTACAGTGCCCACCTGTGATCTACAGTGCCAATCAGTGCTATACAGTGCCCATCAGTGTACAGTCATCAGTGCTCTACAGTGCCCCCTGTGATCTACAGTGCCCATCAGTGCTCTACAGTGCCCCCTGTGATCTCTACAGTGCCCATCAGTGCTCTACAGTGCCCATCAGTGCTCTACAGTGCCCACCTGTGATCTACAGTGCCCCAGTGCTCTACAGTGATCTACAGTGCCCATCAGTGCTCTACAGTGCCCATCTGTGATCTACACATCTGTGATCTACAGTGCCCCTGTGCTCTACAGTGACCATTTGTGATCTACAGTGCCCATCAGTGCTCTTTGCTCATCAGTGCCCATCTGTGATCTACAGTGCCCATCTGTGATCTACAGTGCCCATCTGTACTCATCAGTGCCTGCCATCTGTGTGTATATCAGTGCCTGTCAGTGCTCCTTGCCCACCCAGTGAGTGCCCATCTGTGCCCGTCAGTGCCCATCTGTGCATGTCAGTGCCCACCAGTGAGTGCCCATCTGTCCTCATCAGTACCCGCCAGTGAGTGCACATCAGTGCCCATCAGTGCTCCTCGGTGCCTGTCAGTGCCCATCTGTGCTCATCAGTGCCCACCAGTGAATGCCCATCTGTGCTCATCTGTGCCTGCCAGTGTGTATATCAGTGCCCATCAGTGCTCATCTGTGCTCCTCGGTGCCCACCAGTGAGTACTCATCTGTGCCCGTCAGTGCTTATCTGTGCTCATCGGTGCCCGTCAGTGCCCATCTGTGCATGTCAGTGCCCACCAGTGAGTGCCCATCTGTGCTCATCAGTACCCGCCAGTGAGTGCACATCAGTGCTCATCGGTGCCTGTCAGTGCTCATCAGTGCCCACCAGTGAGTGCCCATCTGTCCTCATCAGTGTCCACCAGTGAGTGCACATCAGTGCCCATCTGCTCATCGGTGCCTGTCAGTACCCATCTGTGCTCATCAGTGCCCACCAGTGAGTGCCCATCAGTGCTCAACTGTGCATATCGGTGCTCATCAGTGCCGATCTGTGCACATCAGTGCCCATCAGCAAGGGCTCATCAGTGCTCATCAGTGCCCATTAGTGAGGGCTCATCAGTGTCCACCAGTGCTGCTTCATCACTGCAGCTTATCAGTGCTCATCAGTGCTGTCTCATCACTGCAACTTATCGGTGCTCATCAGTGTCCACCAGTGCTGCTTCATCACTGCAGCTTATCAGTGTACATCAGTGCCACTTATTCATACACATCAGTACCACCCTATCAGTGGATCCTCATTAGCACCCATCAGAGCACATCAGTGGCAGTTTATCAGTGCAGCCCATTATTGCACAGCAGTGCAACCTCATCAGTGTCCATTAGTGCAGCCTCATCAGCAGCACCCATCAGTGCACCCCCAACAGCGCACCCTCATCAGTGCTCAGCAGTGCACCCCTATAATCACCAACAAGTGCAGCCTCATCAGCACCCGTCAGTGCACTCTCATCAGTGCATCCCCATCAGCGCACCCTCATCAGGACCTAGCAGTGTACCCCCATCAGCACCCACAAGTGCAGCCTCATCAGCACCCATCAGTGCAGCCTCAACTGTCCCAGTATGTCCAAAAAATTATTTTCTTGCGAGGAGGCGTACCAAATTTTATCCATGACCGACGAGAGCAGCGGGGAGCTCTCAGAGCATGATTCTGATTTGGATTATGAGCGTGGTTCTGATTTGGAGTATGAGCCCGTTTTAAGCAGTGGATCTGTTACAGAATCATCATCGGAGGAGGAGGAAATTGTGCCCATCAAACGAAGGCGTTCTGGTGAGGAGCAGGCTACCAAAGTAGCGCGGTGGCATCCACTAGCAGAGCAGTGGCTTCCACAAGAAATGGAGGACGTCAAGAAAGACCAGGTCCTAGTCAGGTGTTACCTCAGCCCCAAAGGGTTAGGACCCATGCCACTCTTCCATATGCCCTTCAAAACCCCCTATGGCTTCCCTCTAACTCTGGAGCAGCTAACATCCCCCCTTTTACTGCCCAGCCAGGAGTCCAGGTAAACACAGAAAATTTTGCCCCTATTGATTTTTTTTTTAATTTAATTTTTACCAATGACTTTCTAAATTTAATTGTGGACCAGTGCAACCTCTATGCCCAACAGTTCATAGCTACAAACCCAGATTCATGTTATGCCCGTCCCTATGAATGGAAGCAGTTGACAGTGGAGGAATTTAAAACATTTTTGGGCCTCACATTTAATATGGGACTCACAAAAAAAAATCAATTACACTCCTACTGGTCTACCCGCCCAATCTATCACATGCCAGTTTTCTCATCAGTCATGTCCAGAACAAGATATCAAATGATCATGAGGTTCCTGCATTACAATGATAACACCCAGTGCCTTCCCCAAAATGACCCAGAATATGATAAACTATATAAAATTCGGCCACTCCTTAATTTCTTCTCTGATAAATTTGCCCAATTATTTGTCCCAGAAAAACACATCTGCGTGGATGAGTCACTTGTCCCCTTCAATGGCAGGCTGAGTTTCAAGCAGTTTATCCCCAGCAAAAGGGCCCGATATGGGATTAAACTTTATAAGTTATGCGACAGAGCCACGGGGTACGTGTACGCCTTCCTCGTGTACGAAGGAAAGGACAGCCAACTGCATCCCCCTGAATGCCCAGATTATATTGGAGCATGTGGAAAAGTTGTTTGGGAGCTTGTGTTTCCACTCTTTGAAAAGGGTTATCATCTCTATGTTGATAACTTTTACACCAGCTTACCCCTTTTCCGCAATCTTCACCGAAGGAGAACACTAGCATGTGGCACCGTGAGATCGAATAGGAAGGGATTCCCGCAAAGGCTGGTGAACACAAGACTACAGAGAGGGGAGTCGGTGACTTTGCGGAACGAAGAGATATTGGCTTTGAAGTGGAGGGACAAACGAGACATCTACATGCTCTCATCAATTCATAATGACAACCACGTGCAAATCACCAGAAAAAATGGCACATTCCAAAAACCAGAATGTGTCCATGATTATAATTTATTCATGGGGGGAGTTGACTTCAATGATCAGATGATCCAGCCCTACCTTGCTGTAAGAAGAACCCGCCATTGGTATATAAAAAAGTCTCCATTTATTTTTTTTAATTTGGCCGTTTATAACACATATATAATCTACCGGAAATCCACCGAGACACCCATGCCCTTTCTTTGGTATCAGGAAGAAATTGTCACTGCCCTTTTGTACCCTGGAGGCCCACCAGAAAGTGTTCACTCAGATGTAGTGAGTAGACTCCAGGAACAGCATTTTCCTGAAAAAGTCCCTCGCAGAGAAGGAGGTCAAAGACGTCAAAAAAAATGTCGGGTGTGCTCCAGAAGAGGAGTTAGACGAGACACCAGCTTTTATTGTCCTCAGTGTCCTTCCCAACCAGGCCTCTGCATAGGTTACTGTTTCCGCCGTTACCATACTTCTGTAAAATATTAGTGAAGTATGGTAAATGTAATTATGAATTTCCTGCCATTCACTCCTCATGCCTCTGCCTGCTCCTGAAATGACCCTATCTTGTTATTTGACAACGCCACTGCCTGCTGCCTAAACTGACCATACCTCTGCCTGTTCTGGAACTGACCCTGGCCTGTTATTCGACCACGCCTCTGCCTGCCGCCTAAACTGACCATATCTCTGCCTGCTCTGGAAATGACCCTGGCCTGTTTATTGACGATGCCTCTGCTTTCCATCAGAACTGACCTCGGCTTGTTAATTGACCACGTTTTTTTTGCCCGCCGCTTGGACTGATCTTCTGCCCTGCTTTTGTAGTATTATGATTCAAAATAATACAGGGGTCTCACATATGTGAGGGGCTTCAGAATAGTTTTTCGGAGTGGAGAAAACTAAGTTTTTGGTTTTCTCTGGGTTTTATAATTCCCAAAAAAGG